TATATATATATATATATATATATATATATATGCATATTAGGGGGAGTGGTGGTGCAGAGGTTAGAGAAGGTGGGTCTGTGATCGAAGATCGCCGGTTTCAAGCCCCAGTACTGACAACATCAAAAATGTGGGTGGGGTAGGTGAAGCACCCACACCTGCCCCCACCCTCATTCGTCCCACTCTGGGCCCTTGAGCAAGGCTCTTAACCTCCACCATCTGCTCCTCAGAGTGTCCTAGATAGCAGCTCCCAGCTCCACACAGAGGGCTGTGGTAGCTCGGTGGTCTGTGGTTGCATCAGGAAGGGCATCCGGCATAAAAATAGACTGGGAACACCTAAACAAAACAATATAACTCCAAATCAGTCACTCCTTTGTAAATGGACTGTACTTATATAGCGCCTTTCTATCTTATTTCAAGATACTCAAAGCGCTTTACACTACAATCTGTGCCTCATTTACCCATTCATACAGCACTCTACTAGATCTCTGCAAAGCTAATTGAACAAATCATTCTAAAGAGACTAATCAGGGCTTTATCACATTCATACACTGATGGGACACACATCAGAGGCTATGAGGGGTTCAGTGTCTTGCCCAGGGACACTTCGACATGTGACTGCTGGTGGATTCGAACCCCCAACTCTCGCATTGGAGGACAACTGCTCTAACCACTCAGCCACAGCCGCCCCTATTGATTCCTTTGTGGAATCAATGACACCAGTTATGTAGTAACACTTATTGTGAATCAATTTCACCTGCTGCTGTGCAAATGGAACACACAACAGGTGGAATGAGGCAATTAGCAAGACAACCCCTCTAAAAGAGTGATTCTGCAGGTGGTGACCACAGGTCATTTCTCTGTTCTCGTCCGTTTTGGTTGAACTTTTAGTCACTTTTTCATTTTGTCAGTGCTGTCACGCATAGAGGCATTTTTTACAGCCCACTGAAGTTGCTCAAGTAGTGCAGCTAATCCAAGATGAAACATCAATGCGAGCGGTGGCAAGAAGATGTGCTGTGTCTCTCAGCACAGTGTCCAGAGCATGGAATAGGTACCAGGAGACAGGGCAGTACACCAGGAGACATGAAGGGGGCCATAGGAGGGCTACAACCCAGCAGCAGGACTGCTACCTAGTCCTTTGTGCAAGGAGGAACAGGAGGTCCACTGCCAGGGCCCTACAAAATGACCTCCAGCAGGCCACTAATGTGCATGTTTCCACTCAGACTGTCAGAATCAGACCCCGTGAGGGTGGTATGAGTGCCTGACATCCACATATAGGGCCTGCGCTTACATCCCAACACTGTGCAGGACGATTGGTGTTTGCTAGGGAACACCAAAATTGGCAGATTCGCCATTGGTGCCCTGCGCTCTTCACAAAATGCAAGTTCACACTGAGCACATGTGACAGACGTGACAGAGTCTGGAGACACCATGGAGAACATTATGCTGTCTGCAACATCCTCCAGCAAGACCGGTTTGGTGGTGGGTCAGTCATGGTGTGGGGAGGCATTTCTTTGGATGGCCGCACAGCTCTCCATGTGCTAGCCAGAGGTGCCCTGACTGCCATAAGGTACCAGGATGAGATCCTCAGACCCACTGGGAGACAATATGCTGGTGCAGTGGGCCCTGTGTTCCTTCTTATGCATGACAATGCTAGGCCTCATGTGGCTGAAGTGTATCAGCAGTTCCTGCATGATGAGGGCATTGATGTTATGGACTGCCCTGCCCGTTCCCCAGACCTGAATCAAATTGAGAACATCTGGAACATCATATTTTGGTCAGTCCACCAAGGCCACATCGCACCACAGACTGTTCAGGAGCTAATGATGCTCTTATCCAGGTCTGGGAAGAGATCCATCAGGAGAACATCTGCCATCTCATCAGGAGCATGCCCAGGCGTTGTTGGGAGGTTAAACAGGCACGTGGAGGCCACACACACTACTGAGCCTCATTTAGACTTGTCTTGAAGAATATTCACTGGCGTTGAATCAGACTGTCATGTTATTTTCCAGGCAGCACGGTGGTGCAACTGGTAGAGCTGCTGCCTCTCAGCGAGTAGGTCCCTGGTTCAAATCCCGGTTTGGGGGCCTTTCTGGGTGGAGTTTTCTCCGTGCATGTGTGGGTTTTCTCTGGGTACTCAAGTTTCCTTCCACTGACTGGTAACTATAAATTGTCCCTAAGTGTGAGTGAGCAAGTTAATTCAATTCAACTCAATTCAAATTCAAAAATACTTTATTAATCCCAAAGGGAAATTAAGTGTTGTCATAGCTCATCATCCTGGTTTCATTCAAGAGTTGTTATAGATGCTGATAGCTGTGAGCAAGAATGATCTCCTGCAGTGAATCCAAAGGATTTGGCCGCAGATATCGATCCGTCCACCTGGATCCAGCTTGCTGTCAGATCCTGCGGGCCTCTCGGTCCTCCTGGGCAGCAGGACTGCCTGAATGCCAAGCAGAACTCCTCCCTGAGCAATGGTCACTCCTCCCAGCAGTCTGCCAAGCTCCTTGTCACCACGGACAGACAGCTGAAGGTGCCGGGGTATGATCCTGGTCCTCCGTTGTCACGAGCAGAGTTTCCCACCAGCTCCAGGATCTCAGTGGTCAGGTACTTGAGCACCGCTGCCAGGTTGATGGAAATTCATCCACGGTGCCTCCTTTTCAACTCATTTGGGATTTGGGGCTGTAGCTGAGATATTATTCAGCTTTTGAGATGTTAATCTGCTGCTCCTGGTTGTTAAAAAACTGTGTTGCCATGGTTGTGCATCATAACAAATGCCCAAAAGTAAAGAGGTTTCAGTAAAAATACTTTCAGCTGCACAGCATCCGATACCAGAGGAAATAATCATTCGAAAAAAAGTGATTTATATCCAGAAAAAAAAGAGGAATTTAAGTTTTCAAAAGCAATAACTCAGAATGAATGTAACAGAGCTGCTCCAACATGCAGCCACCCCAAGTGGCGCAATTCTAGAACTAAGAAAGTTTGTCTTGTTTGTCTCGATGTGTCCCTGTGATGGACTTGCGACCTGTCCAGGGTGTAACCCGCCCCTCGCACAGTGATTGATGGACATGGACATCGGCGACCCCCGTGACCCAAAATGGAAGAAGCGGGTAAAAGTTAATGGATAGATGGATGGATGGATGTTATTTTCCACTTGCATATTGAGTATGAATCCAAATCTATTTTTCCATGGTGTAATAATTTTCATTTTCATTGATAATTTTTGTGTTTTTTCCTTCTCGATCAATTCCCCTCTGCTAATAATAAAGTTTGTCAATAAGAATATTTAATTAATTGAGGTCTAGGATGTGTTATTTTAGTGTTCCCTTTAATTTTGTGAGCAGTGTAAATATATATATATATTTTTTTTTTTTCTCAGCTGCAGAGCGGAGATCCTGACATGCTGCAGGAGGAAGCTTCTCCTGCAGCTGTGGGCTGCACACAGATGCAGCAGGTGCTAAATCATTTAAAATTATTTTAAATAAAAATTCCATGCTTATCGTGTGGCTCATCCATCAATCAGCCAAATATGTGTCAAGTCCATTCTTAATTAAAAAAAAACTGCAAAAGAGCGTTTCCGCGAAAGTCGAACTGTGAAGTAGCAAGGGACTACTGTAATGCACAACAATAAAGCGTGACAGCAGCAGCCCTTTTTCACTGTGTGCTACTGACAGAATAAGCAGTAGGTTGTTTTTTCCATTATTTTTAAACAAGAAAAACAAAACCAGTGTCCCTCAAAGCATCACTTACTAAATAGGTGTTGAAGTTTTCATTGAAGTCAAAAGAGCAACTTTTGTCTGAGGGGAATGATCGAGGAATGTCATAGCAGTCCTGGGATCCAAAATCTGCAAAAGACAAGAAACAGCAACAAAAAATACAGATAACTGTAATTTTTGTCTACTATGACTGAATGGAGTAATTTTGTTTTATCACTCAAAGATATTATCTGATCAGTCAAAAGTCATTTTAACTAAAGTAATAGCCTTCTCTTACACTTTTAGTATTGACTTTGGGTACTGCTTATGCATGTAGCAACCACAAGAACTACCACCATGAAAAGCTTAAAGTCAAATGAGTCTGTCAGCTGGGAAGGACTAAGTGGGGCGAATAATTAGAGTAAACCATGGTCTAATTGTAAAATACTGTAAGGGTATTGAAAAGAGTGAAAACCAAACTTTTAACCATGTCCAACATTTGTTTTTGAATCAGAAACTGTTATATATATATAAAATAATGAATTTAGTTCCCCTTTTATTAGTAAAAGTTTCATATTACCAGTAATAAATCTCCTTTAGCAATAAACATGCATGAAAACACGAACAGAATACAGTTCTAATATACAATAGTGCGGTACAAATGTACTGTCAACCGAGTTTGAACCTAAAAAATAAATATGCTTTCCAAATGTAACTTCTGCAGACTTTTGTCACCTCGAAAGGGAAGAGTATGAGACAAAACTGTTGTGCTCATTCTGATAGTTTTCCTGTGCACCAGCTGTTCCAATAAGCTTTTTTTTTCCCTCCAAATATCTTCCTTTATTTTGATACATCTGATCTCACTAAAACTGTCTCCTGAGTTTTAGATAACATGTCAATGCTAGAGATGTGCTTGGACTGAAGAAAAACTGTGAATGGAAGAGTTTGTGAGGACAGAGTAAGAATCTGTTTTTCAACACAAACCTTTACGGAGTCGTGAACTGTCGTCAGTGCCAATAGTGTTGCTACGTAAAGCCTTGCTCCCAGCACTAGTTGGCACGCAATAATTTCCATCCGTCTCCGAGGCTGAGCGAGGAACAGAATAGGTGTCCGTAGGTGAGCGTTCAGCAGGGGGTGGTGGGAGTCCTGAGGTGGAACTGAGCAAAGGCTTAGGTGGCCTTGGAGGGGGTACATCTCCCGCACTCTCTGAGCCTCCCAACCCTGCTGATGTTGACAGTGTGCGAGGAACCTGGTACGTAGAGTTCGCCCCAGGTGTGGGCGGGATGTCGTAACTAATGGAAAGATTGCGCATCTGTGTCTCCATCGAGGCCATTCTGGTGGGCGTGTTGAAGACGTAAAGGTCAGAGGTGTCCGGATGAGCCGGAGGTGAGGAGGCAGACTTGGGAAGCAGCACAGTGTCCTGCGAGTGGCTGCGAGGGAGGTGATAGATGCTGCTCTCGTTTGAGAGCGAGGCGCCACGTGAGGGGGGTGAGTCATAAAAGGAAGGCGCAGAAGCTGGAGTTTGGTGCTGTTGGAAGAAACCATTGTGCGACGTGTGCTTAGTCAAGGAAGTGGTGGACGTAGGCATGCGGTGAGATGGAAGGTTGTCATTCAGGTCTGTCTCTGAAGAGGTAGATTTGGAGCATTCAGCGTGGGTTCTGCGAACACAATAAACATAAAAATTTACAGATGCAAAAACATCCACTCAGTTACAGCAAATCTTTAAGCCACAGCTAACAACGTGAAGTTATATTTAGACCTCTCCAATCACTAATCTGTCCATATTAGTACTTCTTTGTGGATCACGCAGAGAACCAAGGCAGTTAGTAGACATTGTGCAATGGCTACTTTCAACGTGCAGAAAAAAATAAAATAAAAAAAGGTAACACACACCTAAGCCTTTTAAATCTAAAGGGTAGACTATTTAATCAGATCACTTCATACCACATTCAGATGCAAAACACTTCAAACCCAGCATCAATATTCATCAAGTACATTTATAGTCAGATAAATCTGCAGCAGTGTTGCTCTGAGTTCATGTATACATCTTCACACAAGCAGACAGTTCCAGCTGGATGTCCGAACACTCACAGACTAGCCTGTTGAGACTTGCTCTCACACTCCTCCAGGAGTAAATACTCCTGGTTCTCCTCCAGTGGAGGCCGACACTCCACTGAGCTACAAACGTCATACAACAGAAACAAGGACAAGAGGAGCAGCACAGTTGAAATGTAGGAATAAGAAGAAATGTCTGGAAGCTGTACAGACAGAAAATACTGTCACAGTGGAACGACTCAACAAAGTAAATGATTATTAAATGCTCACAACTCCTTACATACATCTTGAGCACACGTTCAGTCTCACCTGTTGGGCACAGGCTTTTTGCTCTCACAATTGGCAAGCCAAAGGTAATCCTGTGGCTCCTCCGAGCTAGACTGAGACTCCAGGTGTCGCACACTAACTGGCTGGTAGGGAGGTGGTACACCAGACAGCACCGATGCTGTTAGACCATCAATGTTAGCTGGGTGTGGAGGGATATTCACCACATGCCCCCCGGTGACTGACGGATGAGCGGCTTTTGAAGAATCTGCAGAAAGTGAGAAACAGGGCTATGGTTAGCTTCTATCAAACATTTATGTTGTGTTTTGATGTAATGCTATTGAAAATCCTTCTGCACAAGAGTTGCATCTCTACTTGAAAACATGCATTACTTAGGCTGCTTTCACAAAACATTTTCAAGCTTTGTCTGGAACATATTTTGATCATCTCAGTACGATTTATGTACAAACCGGATTCCAAAAAAGTTGGGACATTAAACAAATTGTGAATAAAAACTGAATGCAATGATGTGGAGGTGCCAACATCTAATATTTTATTCAGAATAGAACACAAATCACCGATCAAAAGTTTAAACTAAGAGAATGTATCATTTTAAGGGAAAAATCTGTTGTTTCCAAATTTCATGGCGTCAACAAATCCCAAAAAAGTTGGGACAAGTCCATTTTTACCACTGTGTGGCATCACCCCTTCTTCTTACAACACTCAACAGACGTCTGGGGACAGAGGAGACCAGTTTCTCAAGTTTAGAAATAGGAATGCTCTCCCATTCATGTCTAATACCTGCCTCTAACTGTTCAATCGGCTTGGGCCTTCTTTGCCGCATCTTCCACTTTATGATGCGCCAAATGTTCTCTATAGGTGAAGGATATGGACTGCAGGCTGGCCATTTTAGTACCCAGATCCTTCTCCTACATAGCCATGATGTTGTGACTGCTGCAGAATGTGGTCTGGCATTATCGTGTTGAAAAATGCAGGGTCTTCCCTGAAAGAGATGACGTCTAGATGGGAGCATATGTTGTTCTAGAACCTGAACAAAGTTCTCTGCATTAATGGTGCCTTTCCAGACATGCAAGCTGCCCATGCCACAAGCACTCATGCAACCCCATATCATCAGTGATGCAGGCTTCTGAACGGAGCGTTGATAACAACTTGGGCTATCCTTGTCCTCTCTGGTCCGGATGACATGGCGTCCCAGTGTTCCATAAAGAACTTCAAATCGTGACTCATCTGACCACAGAACAATCTTCCATTTTGCCACACCATTTTAAATGACCCCTGGCCCAGTGCAAACGTCTGCGCTTGTGGAGCTTGCTTAGAAATGGCTTCCTCTTTGCACTGTAGTTTCAGCTGGCAACGGCGGATGGCACGGTGGATTGTGTTCACTGACTATGCTTTCTGGAAGTATTCCTGAACCCATCCTGTTATTTCCTTGACAGTAGCATTCCTGTTTGAGGTGCAGTGATGTTTAAGGGCCCGGAGATCACGAGCATCCAGTAGAGTTTTACGGCCTTGACCCTTACGCACAGTGATTGTTCCAGATTCTCTGAATCTTTTGATGATGTTATGCACGGTTGATGATGATAACTTAAAAGTCTTTGCTATTTTACGCTGGGTAACACCATTCTGGTATTGCTGCACTATCTTTCTGTGCAACAAAGGTGGAATTGGTGATCCTCTTACCATCTTGGCTTCTGAGTGACACCGACACTCTGAGAAGCTCTTTTTATACCCAATCATGTTGTCAATTGACCTAATTAGTGTTAATTAGTCTTCCAGCTGTTCGTTATATGCTCAATTTCCTTTTTCCAGCTACTTATTGCTACTTGCCCCAACTTTTTGGGGATTTGTTGACACTGAAATTTTGAATCAACATATTTTTCCTTTAAAATGTTACATTTACTCAGATTAAACTTTTGATCTGTCATCTATGTTATATTACGAATAAAATATTGACATTTGCCATCTCCACATCATTGCATTCAGTTTTTAATTCACAATTTGTTTAGTGTCCCAACTTTTTTGGAATCTGGTTTGTACAGTAACAAATCAGTTGGGGGCTTGAAATAAATCCAAAGCTGTTTCATGTCTGAGGAGACAAGCAGGGTAATCACAGAGTCAAGTACCATAATTGCCGTTGTACAAGCAGCTACTTTTGTCTTACATTTTGTACCCCGCGGTTTATATGCAGGAGTCTTATTTATGTATTTTTTTCATAATTTTCAAAATGTGTATTTTTATGTTTTATTTTGAAGGACTTCCTGCTGCCTCTCGGTAGTTTCCTGCCACAGACTAACATTTTCCTTTGACAGAGCTGGGTGCTCGTGGTTCCCAGCACCTCGCCCCTCATGGAGGCAGGCATTTGTGACACCGAAAGAATGCCCTCAGGTAATCAGATGTACAAGGACTCTTGTTCACGGTTTCAAATTCCAACCATAACTCCACCTACTCTGTCATCATGTGACCAGAAGTCTAACCTGAATGACCAACGAGGTACTCTCGAGGACCATACCCCAAGATAGATGTGAATTAATTTCTTCAGATTGTTCCCGTGTTGTTTATCATATTTTGCGCTTCATGCACAGACCTGTTTATTTGTTCAGCAATAATGTAAAACGCATGGAGAATTTCTTATGACGCAGCTTTTATGTTAAAAGTGATCGATCAGCTGTCTAGGAGAAAATAGCTTGCAGCCCATAAGCTGCATCAATGTGCGTTGATGGTCAGGATTGGAGATGCAAAGCAGTCAAATCTGGTACATTTTAATAAAAGTTTAAAAATTCTTTGGGTGTGACATCTTTTTGTGTTGGTAAACACGCATTTAAATATCGGGATCTCATTTTAAAGTCACATTCGAATACGAAGCGGAGAAAGGAGTCTTCCCCCCTCCCCTTCCGTCAACAGCTCAACGGTGGACAAGTCGTCAGATTTATTTTCAAAGCAGTCAGTCAAGACTGGTACATATTTAAATAAAAGTAAAGAAAACCTTTCTGTGTACAGTAAATATGTGTTTAAATACCAGTATCTCATTTAAGCTTAAACGGGGGAATAAACAGAATGGAGGAGACAAATGGTAAACGGTAAATGGACTGTACTTATATAGCGCCTTTCTATCTGATCAAGATACTCAAAGCGCTTTACACTACAATCTGTGTCTTCATTTACCCATTCATACAGCACTCTACTAGATCTCTACAAAACTAATTGAACAAATCATTCTAAAGAGACTAATCAGAGCTTTATCACATTCATACACTGATGGGACACACATCAGAGGCTATGAGGGGTTCAGTGTCTTGCCCAGAGACACTTTGACATGTGACTGCTGGTGGATTCGAACACCCAACTCTTGCATTGGAGGACGACTGCTCTAACCACTCAGCCACAGCCGCCCATACAAAGGGAGAAAAAAAAAATGGGGAGGGAGGGGCTGTTCTTCCTCTATGAACTCTGCTGAGGAGAATCACATCAAATTTATTTAGAAAGTACATTTAAAAACAGCAGTTAACAAAAAAAAAAAGTGTTTACCAATAAAAAATAAAAAAATCAATGGTACTAATTTATTGAATATTTACCGCATTCTGCCCGAACTATTTGACTTTCAGTCACATGACCTCGATAAGACTGGGTTTTACCAGTAAATAATAATAATTATATTAAAAAATTAAAAAAAATCAGTTGCATAGGTGTTTGGCACTGTTCTGTCCAGTGATTATGCTTAGATAGTTATTGTATTCATTTTGAAGGTATAATGGTTGTAACCATGAGTCAGACAGTGAAGCTTCATGAAGACGTGATGATCTTGCAGTCTGAGTGTGTGTTGAAAGCAAGCTCTACTCTGTGAAATACCCTCTGCTGGTTGATTCTTGTACTACAATAAAAAAGCTCCACACAGTCGGAGCAGACTGGGGACACAGTTTCTGATGAACGGTGGATGCCTGCGGCTGAAAAACTGTAGCGTCTTATTTAACATCCTGATTCATGCACAATAATCCAGGTAGAAAAATCTAACCAAGTTAAGTCAGGTCCTCTGGACGGTTTCTTTTTGTTGTTGTTGAAACGTTTCGTCCTTCATCCAAAAGACTTCATCCGTCCAAGCAGCCGAAACAAACCCACTTTGGCCATGATTGTCTCAAACTAGACTGAGGAATTTGATGTAGGGAACACAATCGTTAGATGTAATGTAACATGGGTACTGTCATGGTTCCTAATGTGGGAGTTCCCGTTCATTTCTTTCTTGAGATCACTAGATGGCACCAGATGACCACACCTGAGACCAATCCTCTTGATGAGATGCCCAGCATATAAAAGGCAGTTGATAACTTCTCTTCGACACTGGAGCATTACCTTGCCAATGTTTTGTGCCTCTAACCATTTAGATTTCTAGTGACTTATGATTACTTACCTGTACCCTTTGTTGTTTCCAGTGAACCTCCTGAGACTTACCTGTTCCTGGACTCCCTTGTGAAACTCTGGAAACCTCTTTGTGGCCTACTCAGCGGTCTTCCTCGCCTTCCAACCATTTACCCTCCTGAGACTACTTTCCACTCTGGACAACTCATTGTCCTCACAGGATTATTGGAACTAGTTCACTGACAATTCATACAACAACCATTCACAAACCAGTAACAATCAGAAGACAGTCTGATTAATATCATTACTGCAGAACTCCAGAGTTGACCCTTCTCCTTGCTCACTAGGGTTCTTGACTTTACCCGTGATCACTGTAAACAAAAGCACTGAAATTTCCTTCCTTTGTTGAGTTACTCATTTTTTCATTCAAACTTTATTAATACAGGTTAATCCCATTGAGCCTCTGGGACTCATTTACAAGAAAGACCTGATTTCAACAAAGAGTGATGACAACAGTAGACAACAAAGTCAACAACAGACAATCATAAAGGATGCATATGTAGCATGAAGCTGCACTCCTCCAACTATGACCCCTGACCCTGGGGTTGTTCAAAGTTGTTCGTCGAGTTGTTTATATTCAGTTCTTTCGTTCTGGGTATTCAGTCCTTATGACATCCACATGCTAATATGACCACAATGTTTGTTACAACACCTGCTTGGTATAAAAATCCTGAACCTTTAAGCCAGACTTGTGAAAACATAAGCATGACTATTTCCTCTTTACTTTTTCAGTGATCAGACCCATTCTATAGCAGATAGCTGTTGGATGTGTGGAGATGATGTTTTGATAAATGTATTGCCACGAATGTGGATTGGGTTACATACCCTAGTAAAAATGAAATTCTTTGTGACGATGTTACATAATGGAGTAAATGAGATGATTATTTGAATTTGAAGATGTGACTGGTGAGAATCACAGAATTAAAAGGCATGACGTAAATGTTTATTTCAATGCAATTGGACAACCTAAAGGAATCCCAGATGAGTTTAAAGCAAGAGATGAGATAAAGGCAGGTATAGAATCTACACTTCCTTGGATAACGATGAATAAGAATGTAGAATGGGTTAACTGTATTTATTACTCTCTTCAAAGATTTGTAAACCATACATCTGACGCTCTCGGGATTCTAGAGGAAAAATTAAACGCAACAAGTAGAGTCGCTCTACAGAACCTTCAGACATTAGATGGCAAAAATTGTGTTTTTTACTATGCTGAAAATGACGGAAAACCATCAAGGCGATGGAGAACTTTAATCAATGTACATGGTAAAACTGGTAAATACAAGCACTGTCTGAAACTAAATCAATGCAAGAACATTTCTTACGTCACTTTGCATTCTTATATGAACTTAACTCTAACTCAAATCAAGGCTGTTTTCAACAATTCAACAAGCCTCAGAAATGTTTCAGTTCACATCTTACTAACTCTAGAAAATAAAGCAAATTGTGGAGCACAAGGCAAAAACATTGGTGCAAACAGCTGAAGCAAACTGCAGGATTTGCTGTGGATTTAAATCAAAAAGCATCATCATCCACATTCTCATCCATCGTTTCAAATGAGGCATACACATTTGTAGCCATATTAAATGCTGTATTCATACATATTTAATACAGTTGTTTTCCATCTTCACCTTCCCACATTTTCTCAGATACTATTTTAGCAAGGCATTTGCTTTGTCACAAAGTTAGTTATCAAATTGCAGTCCTTTTCAAACTCTTCTGCTTGAACAGACTGTTGTGCTGCACATATGGCTGATGAATACCCACCCTAGCTCTATTCTCGATTAATTTATTTCTATTCAGGGGTTTTAGTTAAAACAAGTCCCAGAGATTTATTTTACTAACTAACTAACTAAATGTGTCCCTTTGAACGTGTTACAGTTCCCTTTTTTCCTACTTCCATTTCTTCCATCCAGTGTGGTGCAAATCCAACCATCTGCGTGACTTGACAGGCTGGTGAGGAAAGCTGGTTCTGTGCTGGAAACAGAGCTGGAGTCCCTTATATCAGTGACCAAAAAAAGGGCTCTAAGTCCTGTAAGCTGCAATCCATCATGGACAATGCTGACCATCCTCTGCATGGCACCATCATGAAGCAGAGGAGCCCCTTCAGTGGTAGACTGTTGTCCCAACCCTGCTCTACAGACAGATTCAGAAAGTCCTTTGTCCCTCAAGCCATCATAATGTTCAACTCCTCCCCGTACAGTAAAAATAGAGCCTTGTAAATCTGCGGCACCCTGAACATACATGCATACATGCATGTATGCATGAATACATGCATACATGCATAAATACATGTATGCATGCATGTATGCATGCATACATACATGCATGCATGCATGCATACATACATGCATGCATACATACATGCATGCATACATACATATACACATACGCATGCATGCGTATATACATATAATCATGAATGTAGTACTCCCTACTTACCTATGCATGCATGCATGCATACATACATACACATGCATGCGTATATATATATAATCATGAATGTAGTACTCCCTACTTACCTTGTGCATGTGCATATTTGTCTTTTTTTCAAATGAGTGCTTTCTACTTCTTTTTTGATTATTCTTTTTTTTTTTTTTGTACAATCCAAAAATACTACTATATGCCTAACATTTCCCCTCTGGGATTAATAAAGTATGTATGTATGCATGTATACATGCATGTATGTATGTGATAGTGTATGCATGTGTGTGTGTATCTATCTATCTATTCATCTATCGTACTACTTCTACAGGTTCATAAAAGCTTCAAAGGATGATTTTGAGGAAAATAAAATAAAATTCCCTATCTACAATAATATATACAGAAGTCTCTCATTTAATCGCAGGGGATCCGTACTCTGAAGCTCCGCGATAAGTGAAAAACCGCAAAGTAGGAATAGTAGTACAAGTAGTAAGTAGATTATTTTAGCGCATATATATATATATATATATATATATATATATATATATATATATGGATAAACAGACAGACAGATAAATAGAAGGAGTGTGCGATATATACGGTACACGGTAGAAGCGACAGACATTTAGCCTATGATAGAGATCTGTCTTCTACCGGCTAACCGCAGTAATGCTGTGTCTGATGTAAAGTCAGAGTTGTTAGTTTAATCGTTACTTTTTTTAAGTTGAAAACTGTGCGTAAGCGGTGTTAAAGTATTTTCTTCGAGAGATAAGTAGCAAAGCTACAAGCTAACTATGGCCGGCTTGCCGTATGTTGCCGTATTCAGACACATGCGCAAAACGCTGTGTTCTGTCAAAAGTTTTTATTCATTTATTTTATTTTTTCCATCAAAAGTTAAAGTAAGTGTTGGTCAGCTTTAGAGAAACCTGCTCTCTGATCTGTAAAAGAACGCTGTGGTGTGTGATTTTACTGCGAGACCCTCTGGTCAAAGCCACAGAGGAAACTGGTCGCCATTTTGTATCAGCTCTCCTTAAAGCGGAAGGAGACGCCCACTAGAGGGTTGGAGGGTGAAGTGTTTCAGTGTAAAATGCTGCTCTGTTGCTGTTCATTTCTTAAGTGAGAATACTGGAAACAGTTAAAGAGTTAACAACATATTATTTTGTTTAAAATGTATGACTAAAACTACATTTGATATCTTTTGCACTGTTTTACGCTACAAGAAAGAAGCCTAATACTTGATTTGTTTATTATTTAAAAACTCTCTGGACCTAGTGGTAGAATTTTCTTAATTCAGATAATTTTGTTGTATAGCAGTTTTCAAAATAAATGATGGCAAAAAGGACACCCTATGCTTTTCCCCCCATTTCTATTGCAAGTTTTATACAAAAACATATTGTGATATAAAAACAAAAAAGGTTGAATCATGTCATCCGGACTTCGTAACGAAGTCCAGATGACATGATTCAACCTTTTTTGTTGTTATATACCTGGATGACTGAGAAAACAAACTTTGTGTTTTTGAAACCATTAGTGAAAAGGCCAGACTTCAGGGGTATCTGAGGCAGGCTTGAAACACAAGAGTCAGGGTGGCTTCTGGGTAATACCAGATGGCTAGGCCTCAGACTGACGAAGCCTCTTGGATGAGGGGCGAAACGTTTCTTTTTTTAAACAAAAAAACGAAGTCCAGATGACATGATTCAACCTTTTTTGTTGTTATATACCTGGATGACTGAGAAAACAAACTTTGTGATATTGTGATATACATCGTTATCGCCACCCATCACAATACATATCGTGATATGAATTTTATGCCATATCGCACATCCCAGATAGATAAGACAAGATGGATAAGACAGACAGACAGAGCCAGTCCAAGAAAAAAGACCCGCCAAGTAGAGAGGGACTGCTGTACCTCCAACACTGTCAGAAAGCCTGAATGTATCTTTAAGCCTGAATGTTTTTTTTCTCTGATATCTGCTCAGCTACAAAACACTCATGTTCTGTGGCCACATACAACTGAAGAGTGGGAGGCAAGTCACACAAACAGAACAGTGCAAGCAGATAGACAGCCAAGGACATGCTTTCATAAGGGTTGAGGAGACCTAGCTGAAAAAAAAAACTTTATATCTGGATTCTCTTTAAAGAGTACTGGTAGTTTTCTCAAATATTTTAACAGCCAGTTCCTTGTGTAATAATATCAAGGTAACCCTGCAGCTCCAGCTATAAAAAAAGGTAGACGCACAGCTTGAAAATGACCTTGTAGCAACATAATCAGTGAATAATTTACTGTTGAAAAAATCCTAAAGCTTAAAGAAATCGTAATGCTATCTTGTGTCAAATCTTTATCTTTGGTGCAACACGTTTGGTCCATGTAATCACAGTAACATTTCACGTTTAGTTGTAAAAGAAGAAAAAGTAAAGGTGACAGAGTGGGCTACAAGCTGCACAGGTTGCAATCAAGCTCAGAGACAGAAAGTGGGAAAAAATATACAAATAAGAGAATGAAAGAGGCCAAGAGGAAAAAGAAAGTCAGCAAGACCTCCAGGCACACAATGCTTTGATTATCCAGTACAAGGAACAAGAGTAACATGAGCCTTGATGCACACATGAATCATTTTGACCTTAACTGAAAACTTTGTGGATAGTGGATTTCAAGCACATTTAATTGATTCACCAAACTCCTTAATAGAAAGATGAAGGCATTTGGGAAATATCACAATGGCAAACAAATGTAGAGACATTAACCTCTGCTGTGTTGTCCAATATTAGCAGTATTGGATCATGGGTGTTATTGAAGCCAAGAACAGCTAATGCTGGTAAGATGGAATTCATTCCAGAAGCATAAGCATTACATTTGTTCCTAAATAACAGACATTGTATATAAAAAAAAACTTAATCTAATGCCAGTAAAAAAAAAAAAAAATCTACTAACAATACAGTGCTGGCAGCCGTTAAATAAGAAATAAACCTGAGTTGTACAAGCACTATGTTTTAAAGCTTCAAAACTCAAACTTTTCAGTTTGAATTTAGAAAAAAGATGTAGCTTTGTTTTAAACCCTTATGAGATGCAGTTACTCCCCCTTCACCACTGATGTATGTCTTTTGCTATAAGCATACTTGCAGAAATTCAATCACATCCATATAAAAGATGATAGTGCCATTAGGATCTTACCATCATCAGTAGGGTTAAAACCACAGATGTCGCAGATGTGGCGAACCCACTTATTCATGTCTTCTTCTGTGTCGGCCACCAGGTAGAAGATGCGGTCAATGGTTCTGATGTCAAATATGAAGCTGTGCTCCAAGTCTTTCTTAACCAATGTCAGCCCAGCATCCACCTAACAGGAGTTCACAGAAAACACATGAACATCGAATAGGCCGTGAGTCTTAAATGATTTCAAACAATTAATTTCAAATGGCAGAATCTCCAAGTTTCAGCTTGTTGGGGACAGCCTAATGCTAGCCACTTATTGTTATCCACCTGAAAAGGGTCTTGCTCTGCTATCAACTTTAATGCAGCCTGAACCGCAATGTGTAACACCCCCCGCAAAACTTGTATCAAAACAACTGGCTTGAAAAAATTTGATTGGGGTAAATTGGCCACATTTTTCCTCTTTGTTGCACATACACACACACACACTTTATTTGCAGTCCTATTTTTATAAAATAAAATAAAAATTGTAATTTAAAAAATAAATAAATTCATTAAAATAAAATAAAATAAAAACATAACTCAAGCTTGATAATTGGTATGCCAATGACGCTGAAGGATTTGAATGACGGCTGTAGTTTTTGAGATAAGTGTTTTTCTGGACTGGAATGGAAAAGGGAATGCAAATAAATCTTAATGTCTTTGATTCAAGATTGCATTACATATTACGGTACATTATGTATTACAAACATATAGTTTACATATGGTGGCGGCGGCAGTGGTGTAGTCTATGTGATACGCTGGTATATGCCGTATACTCACTAGGAAAGCTTGGGATTTTTAGTATACTCACTTAAAAGTGACCAGTAATACACGACATATCATTGCACGTGTCATTATATTGAAATGTTGGGGCAAAATGCATTGTAAACGCCCTCAGAGAACAGCGGTGTCCTCCTTTCTTTTTCTTTCTATTATTTTTGTAGGGGGAGGAATAAACAGCAAAACCCTTATTAAACAATGATTCTTGGTCACATTACATTACATTAAATGTATTTTTTTTAAACAACACTAATTGTAAAAAATAAAAAATAATAAATACTTCATTTAAAACATTCATATTTACGAGCCACTAAAAGCCTAAAGAACTTTCATATTTTGTCCAATTTACTTTGAACTAACAAGAAAACAACTTATAATAATAAACATTATAATATGTGTGTGTATGTATGGAACATCCATCTATCCATTATCTTCCACTTCCTAGGGAGGTGCTTCAAGGAAATCAAAATAAATTGACGAATACATTGTACAAACCGGATTCCAAAAAAGTTGGGACACTAAACAAATTGTGAATAAAAACTTAATGCAATGAAGTGGAGGTGCCAACATCTAATATTTTATTCAGAACAGAACACAAATCACAGATCAAAAGTTTAAACTGAGAGAATGTATCATTTTAAGGGAAAAATCTGTTGTTTCCAAATTTCATGGCGTCAACAAATCCCAAAAAAGTTGGGACAAGTCCATTTTTACCACTGTGTGGCATCCCCCTTCTTCTTACAACACTCAACAGACGTCTGGGGACAGACGAGACCAGTTTCTCAAGTTTAGAAATAAGAATGCTCTCCCATTCATGTCTAATACATGCCTCTGTAACTGTTCAATCGTCTTGGGCCTTCTTTGTCGCACCTTCCTCTTTATGATGCGCCAAATGTTCTCTATAGGTGAAAGATCTGGACTGCAGGCTGGCCATTTCAGTACCCGGATCCTTCTCCTACGTAGCCATGATGTTGTGATTGCTGCAGAATGTGGTCTGGCATTATCGTGTTGAAAAATGCAGGGTCTTCCCTGAAAGAGATGATGTCTAGATGGGAGGATATGTTGTTCTAGGACCTGAACATAGTTCTCTGCATTAATGGTGCATTTCCAGACATGCAAGCTGCCCATGCCACGAGCACTCATGCAACCCCATACCATCAGTGATGCAGGCTTCTGAACGGAGCGTTGATAACAACTTGGGCTATCCTTGTCCTCTCTGGTCCGGATGACATGGCATCCCAGTGTTCCATAAAGAACTTCAAATCGTGATTCATCTGACCACAGAACAGTCTTCCATTTTGCCACACTCCATTTTAAATGACCCCTGGCCCAGTGCAAACATCTGAGCTTGTAGAGCTTGCTTAGAAATGGCTTCCTCTTTGCACTGTAGAGTTTCAGCTGGCAACGGCGGATGGCACGGTGGATTGTGTTCACTGACAATGCTTTCTGGAAGTATTCCTGAGCCCATTCTGTTATTTCCTTGACAGTGGCATTCCTGTTTGAGGTGCAGTGACATTTCAGGGCCCGGAGATCACGAGCATCCAGTAGAGTTTTACGGCCTTGACCCTTACGCACAGCGATTGTTCCAGATTCTCTGAATCTTTTGATGATGTTATGCACGGTTGATGATGATAACTTAAAAGTCTTTGCTATTTTACGCTGGGTAACACCATTCTGGTATTGCTGCACTATCTTTCTGCGCAACAAAGGTGGAATTGGTGATCCTCTTACCATCTTGGCTTCTGAGAGACACTGACACTGTGAGAAGCTCTTTTTATACCCAATCATGTTGTCAACTGACCTAACTAGTGTTAATTGGTCTTCCAGCTGTTCGTTATAAACTCAATTTCCCTTTTCCAGCCACTTATTGCTACTTGTCCCAACGTTTTTGGGATTTGTTGACACTGTGAAATTTTGAATAAACATATATTTCCTTTAAAATGTTACATTTACTCAGATAAACTTTTGATCTGTCATCTATGTTATATTATGAATAAAATATTGACATTTGCCATCTCCACATCATTGCATTCAGTTTTTATTCACAATTTGTTTAGTGTCCCAACTTTTTTGGAATACGGTTTGTACTAACTGGTGTATTTTGGTTTCTAAGCACAGTTTACCCACTACAAAAATGTAGACGACACCACTGGGTGGCGGCCATCTTGGATTTTGGATTTGGCAACCGAATTTTCAAAAGGAAACTTCCTAACACACAGATGCAGCTACAGGTCCTTCTAAAAAAAATTAGCATATTGTGATAAAGGTCATTATTTTCCATAATGTAATGATAAAAATGAAACTTTCATATATTTCAGATTCATTGCACACCAACTGAAATATTTCAGGTCTTTAATTGTTTTAATACTGATGATTATGGCATACAGCTCATGAAAACCCAAAATGCCTGTCCCAAAAAATTAGCATATTTCATCCCACCAATGAAAGACAAGTGTTTTTAATACAAAAAACGCCAACATTCAAATAATCATGTTCAGTTATGCACTCAATACTTGGTTGGGAATCCTTTTGCATGAATGACTGCTTCAATGCGGCGTGGCATGAGGCAATCAGCCTGTGGCACTGCTGAGGTGTTACGGAGGCCCAGGATGCTTCGATAGCGGCCTTAAGCTCATCCAGAGTGTTGGGTCTTGCGTCTCTCAACTTTCTCTTCACAATATCCCACAGGTTCTCTATGGGGTTCAGGTCAGGAGAGTTGGCAAGCCAGTTGAGCACAGTAATACCATGGTCAGTAAACCATTTACCAGGGGTTTTGGCACTGTGAACAGGTGCCAGGTCATGCTGAAAAATGAAATCTTCATCTCCATAAAGCTTTTCAGCAGATGGAAGCATGAAGTGCTCCAAAATCTCCTGATAGCTAGCTGCATTGACCCTGCCCTTGATAAAACACAGTGGACCAACACCAGCAGCTGACATGACACCCCAGACCATCACTGACTGTGGGTGCTTCACACTGGACTTCTGGCGTTTTGGCATTTCCTTCTCCCCAGTCTTCCTCCAGACTCTGGCACCTTGATTTCCGAATGACATGCAAAATTTGCTTTCATCCGAAAGAAGTACTTTGGACCACTGAGCAACAGTCTAGTGCTGCTTCTCTGTACCCAGGTCAGGCGCTTCTGCTGCTGTTTCTGGTTCAAAAGTGGCTTGACCTGGGGAATGCGGCACCTGTAGCCCATTTCCTGCACACGCCTGTGCACGGTGGCTCTGGATGTTTCTACTCCAGACTCAGTCCACTGCTTCCGCAGGTCCCCCAAGGTCTGGAATCGGCCCTTCTCCACAATCCTCCTCAGGGTCCGGTCACCTCTTCTCGTTGTGCAGCGTTTTCAGCCACACTTTTCCCTTCCCACAGACTTCCCACTGAGGTGCCTTGATACAGCACTCTGGGAACAGCCTATTCGTTCAGCAATTTCTTTCTGTGTCTTACCCTCTTGCTTGAGGGTGTCAATGATGGCCTTCTGGACAGCAGTCAGGTCGGCAGTCTTACCCATGATTGCGGTTTTGAGTAATGAACAAGGCTGGGAGTTTTTAAAAGCCTCAGGAATCTTTTGCAGGTGTTTAGAGTTACGTCGTTGATTCAGATGGTTAGATTAATAGCTTGTTTAGAGAACCTTTTCATGATATGCTAATTTTTTGGGACAGGCATTTTGGGATTTCATGAGCTGTATGCCATAATCATCAGTATTAAAACAATTAAAGACCTGAAATATTTCAGTTGGTGTGCAATGAATCTGAAATGTATGAAAGTTTCATTTTATCATTACATTATGGAAAATAATTACCTTTATCACAATATGCTAATTTTTTGATAAGGACCTGTATATCTATATTGCGTTACATTTTTATATTTTTAGTGTGTGTTTTTCATAAGCATGTTTTGCATGGAAAAAATTATTGGCTCTTAATCTCATTGTACTTGCGTATAATGACAATAAAGGCATTCTGATTCTGTACTTCATGTTATTGTTAAAAAAAAGTTAAGAACTGTTGGAGCAGGAACAAATTATAACTTTAATCTAAATTTATTTGTGTGGTAATGTGTACAGATAACTTCAAATAATCCAGGCATAAAATTTTAAAAAATTATCTTTTGGAGCAGGCAGGATTTCAAGGGTCTGTCTGCACAAAGGATGAAAAATTGTGTCACATTAAAGGTTGACTTAGAAAAAAATATATACTAAAAGAATACTAACACAGTAACACTACTGCTTTGTTCCTCTTTGTGCAAAGAAATGACAGAGGTTTGAATTACCGCATTTTTCATCATATATATTTGCAAGTCCTGCAACTTATACAGTGAAGCGACTAATATACATTTTTTCCCCCCCCATATTTATGACCCTGGCT